ACGGGCTCTAGGCGGCGGGCAGGAGAGGCAGAGGGGCTGGAGCTTGTTCTGGGACTGGTGGGCACCGCCGAAGATTCTGAGCAGGGTCTGGAACAATTACAGCGAGGATGGTCCTGAGGTCAGAGGACACGGCTCTGCCAAAGGTGGTGAGAAGCTGGCATAGAGGTCCGGAATGTCCAAGGCCAGAGGAACTGAGGCTGGGGTAGCTGCGGGTGGGACAGGACGGCGCCAGCTGAAGTCTGCCTGGGACTTAGTTCCCAGCTCCACAGATTAGAGGCCACAGACAGCCCTGTAGCACCAGACCATGGGGGTCCAGCCAAGAGCCTGGACTCTGTCCCATGGGCACTGAGGAGCCATGGAATGCTCTTGAGCCAAGGATGTGTAGGAAGGCGGTCAGCCCACTTCTCCCACAGGGCCCTGACACAGACCTAGAAAATAGAAACACTTGGAGAAGACCCTGTGTTGCCCCCACATCTACTCCAAACTCCAGCCATCCACTGGCCTCCCCGGAACGCACAAGGGGGTGAAGGGGAGGCGAGGCCCGTGCTGACCCATCCGACCGACAGTGTGGGGCTCTGCCCGGGCCTGCCTGCCTCTCCTGGCAGCCGCTGCCTGGGAAGTCCTGCCCTGCTGCCTCCTTCCGCACTGAGGCCATGCTTCCCCACGTCCACCGGCCTGGCCAGCTAGGGCGTACGCAGGGGGACGGGCGAGGCCGCCCGGCCACACACACTCCCGCGCCTCGATGCCCTCTGTGCCTTCGCAGCCTCCCTCCTCCCGCAGAGACTGGGGACGAGCCCTCCTCTCTCCGCACCATAAACACCAATTTGCAGGGCCCTGAGAGCCAAATGACTATTTACCGTGGCTGTGAAAGCTCAGATAAAAAGTGAGTGGGAGAGAGAGAGGGAAAAGGCCAGGCAGCAGAGCACAGAGGGAGCAGAGCTAAACAGCAATTAGCAGCTCTGACAGCGTCCAGCCCTCCCAGTGCCCACCCGCCCGGCTGCCTGGCTGGGCTAGAAGGCCCGTCCCAGCTTCCCTGGCCTCCTCGCCCCCGCCCTCCTGGCATCTCCCAGGACGTTTTCGAAGGTAGCCGCCTCCTTGCCCGATGGTGATGTAGCAGCCACCAAGGGGGATGTGACCCAACTCTCGGGGCAGATTTGAACAGCACCTGAGCCTGGGGTGTCACTCTGAAAGCTTGTACCCTGAGACCGGCTGGTACCCAGCCCAGCAGGGCTGCAGAGGGTACCCAGGGGTTCCCAGGCCCCACCACAGGGGGGCTGTGACCTCAAGGATCCTGGCCCAGGGCAACCCTCTAGGGAGAATGGCAGCTCCAGAGGGTGAGTGGCTGGCTGTCAGGGACAGCTGGAGGGCATGAGGCCTGGTCCCTGTCCCTAGCCCCAGCCATCAGCCAAGCCTGGGGGCAGGGCTGTCCCATCATCTCCTGGGCAGGTGGAAGCACTTAGGAAGGGTAAGTGCCCAGGGTCAGAGGGCAGGGGCTGTCGCCAGAGCTCTGGGCAGAATGTGGCGGGCTCCAGGTGCCTTGAAGCCCTCTCTGAGCCCTTCCAGTGGTCCACCCACTGAGCTCTGCCTGGCACCAGGGGCCCCACGGTAAGGATCCCGGCTCTGAGCTCAGGGGTGCGGCTCCATGCCCACTTGTGCACCCACTGAGGTGCTGAATACCAGAGGGGCCTGCGCCAGCCCGGGGAGGCTCTGCGAATGAGGCTACAGGTCTCCTTCTCAGTGGACCCTGGGGCCCAGCCAGCCTTGCAGACCCAGCAGTGGCCATGCAGATGGGTTGACTGAGGCCCACACAGCAGACTGGGCTGCCTTTGGAGGAAGTCTGGGTTCTCGACCTCCCCAGCCCCGGGACCAAGCTTCAGCTTTGTCGCCTATTTAGGGTGGTCCCGGGGACTTCCCATACTCCGCCCTGGCTGCTCCTGCCCCTGCGACTTGGCCGGACCTTCCAGTCACCCCACACAGCTGCCACCCAGGTGTTGCTGGGACGCATCCCCAGCACCCAGAGCAGTGAGTCCAGGGGAGAGGGTGTCAGAGGGGGCAGGGCATGGGGGCCCCAGGTGGGGGCGGGCCACACCCCCTCCAGGACTTCAAAGCCAGGAGTGTGAGATTTGCAGGGGGCTGGGCCACAACCTCCGGGCCTTTTATATGGTTATTCGTGGGCTGTCTCAACTACCTGTGAACAGGCCGACCAGCTCATTTCCTCCTCGGGGTGGTGGAGGGGGCTGTAAATCCCCAGAGGAGCCTCAGAAGGGGGCAGCTGGGCCAGCGGGACCCCTGAGAGCTGCTATTCCAAGGCCCAGAGGGTGGAGTTTTGCTTTCCAGTTCCTCGGTGCCTAGTAGCTGGGTCTGTCTTAGGGCCCTGTGGCTGTGAACGCCCCATTCCTTGGTCAGCTTCTTGTAGAATCTGCCCTCTGCACCTCAAGGTGTTGGTGGTGTGGATGGGCAGGGCCAGCCCAGCACCACCCTCTGGGCCACTGAGACCGTAAGCATGGAGACCCTCTAGCCACCCTGAGGAGCCATGTCCTCAGGCCAGTGCTGCCCTCTCTCTGGGCTCAGTGGGGCAGACAGTCTGGGTGTGAAGGGCCTTTGGCCTTCCAGGTGGCTCTGTCTGAGTGGGTGTGGACCTGCTCCCCCCAGGGTGGAAAGCCATGCTCTAGTGGGAATGTGGGAAGAAAAACTGCACACCACTGAGATTCTCCGAGCCCGGTTCCCGTCTGCTCTGACCTGCTGCTCACAGAGCGCCAGTCCCTGGGCACCCCTACTCCTGAAGGAGTGCCAGTCCCTGGGCACCCCTACTCCTGAAGGACTCTGCCCTGCCCTTCTGACCCCCACCCACTGGGGTCACACCTGTCCTCATCTGGGGCCCCTGGCGTGGTGCCCCAGGAGGTGCCAATTAAGGCAGCAACTCAGGACGCTTGGAGCCTGTGGGCCCTGCCTGACTGAGGGCCCCATCACTGCCCTAGGGACTGCCCTCTTATGGCCATGGCCCAGGGTCTGTCCCCTCCCACTGGTGACTAACTTCCCAGAGTGAGCGTGGGCACTGTCTTCCTGCTGCACTTCACAGAGCAGCGCAGTCCCCACGCCAGCTGGTACGGGTCACTGAGCCCTGGGGAGCCGGCGGCCTGAGTGTGCCAGCCACAGGGGATGGGGTAGAGCAAGGCCCAGGGCCCTGGGGAGAGGCCATGGGCTAGGGGAACCAGGCTACCACCCTCCAGCCAGGGCCCAGGGCAGTGTGGGAGTACAAGGCCAAGGGAAGGGGCAGGAGTCTTGCAGAGCACCCCGTCTTGAGACCCCCCGGCCACTGGCTCGCTGTCACCTGCATCTAAAGGGTGCTGTGGCGCTGCTGCTCCATGGTCTCTGCGGCTGGTGGGCCTGGACGGGGTTCCAATGACCCACCCTCCCAGGCACGTCTCTGTCCGCACACAGGTTTCTGCACACTGTCCGCCCCTGCCTGTGTCTTCCTGGCTGTCCCTCTATCTGCCTGCTCTTTGTTTAGGGGGCTGTTCCTCGTGTACCCTGCTGGGATGCTGGGTGTCCTTGGGGCTCGGGTATGAAGGTGTGGTAGACACAGCTGACAGCCAGGGGGTGAGCCTGGCCATGTGGGGATGGGGCACAGCCTCCCCACTGGTGGCCAAGGGGGGCAATGAGGGTGTTGTGGGGGCCACATGGGGACTAGGCACGTGTCACTGAATCTGGGCATACCCTGACCCCTACACTTCTTAGAGGAGGCTGGGATGGTTGTGACACAAAGCCAGGTTAGGGAAGTGGTGTTTCAACAAAGCATTGGGTGGTGTCACACTGCTGGACCATGTAGGACCCCCTCCCCCCCCCGGGGCAGGTCACATGCAGCCTCAGACCCCACTCCTCGTGTCCCCATGAACCAGTTTCTCCTGTGGGCACCATGTGGCTGGCAGATCTGGGGACCCTGCACTGGGGACAAATGGCGTGGAAGGGCCCTGCCCTGCGCCCAACTTACAGCCAGGGCGGTTGCGTTCCCACCTTCTCCTAGGCCAGCAGCACGCCGTGCCCTGGAGAGACGGGAGGACGGTCCCCTCCCCTCTACAGGGGACTGCATCCCAGCTCCTGTCAGCTTCTTGAGGCAGCATGGATCTCCTGCTCCCTGGGCTCCTGGGTAACCACTCCCACATCGGATGCTGCAGATGTGGGGTGGTCACCGAGGCTGCCTCCTCCTCCTCCTCCTCCCTCTGTCTTACAGCTGGCCTGCAACACCTGTGCAGGGCGCTGTGCTGGACCTGGGCCCGCTGCCTGCAACTGTCACCTCCGTGTCCCTGGGTTTTGCTGCCCTGGGCTCTGCCTGTTCATCAGGAGGTGGGGACAGTCTTGGCACCAGCGTGGAAGGGCAGAAAGGGCAACAGAGACCCTGGTGGGGCAGCAGGGAGAGATGAGACCCCCGTCTCCATGATGCACACATTCCCCTGAGTGAGGAGGCATGGGCCACCTGGGGCTCTCAGGGAAGGGCCAGCCCTGTCCACTGCCCCCAGGGTTGAGGATCCAGAACACCCTGGTGGCCCGCCCTATCTCAGCCTCCTGGTGACTATCCACTTAGAGGTTAGGAGCAGCTGGCCACGCCCCAGCCCCGAGGTAACAGGCACACAGTTTGTTGAGTGTCAGCTGTGTGCATGTGCATGGACACAGGGAGGTGGCCTGGCCGAGCTTCTCTGCACCGTAAATCTAGGAGGTCTCCATTCTGCCCCTTCTCCTGCCCTGGGCTCTGCAAGTGCCTGTACCGCTCTCAACCCTCCGCCCCAACTCCACTCCCTCCCCAGCTTGGCCTGCACCTCCTTTCTTGGGCTCCACTGTCCCGGATGCTTCCCCCTAAAACCTAGCAGTGTCTCTCTGTGCTCAGGGCAGGCTGCCCTCCTTGTCATGGGCCTCTGGGCCTCTCTTCTCCTGACCACCAGACGTGAGGACAGGAAATGCTACCGACCAGGCAGACACTTGTGGAAACATCACATTGAGCCTCGTTAATATGTACAATCAATGCATGTTAATAAAAAATAACATAGGCAAAATAAAAAGGAAAACTCCAGCACAAACCACAGGCTTATTGGGTTGTTTTTTCTTCAACTTTCCCCATAATTTGAAACTCATGTGCTATCACTAAAATAATTTCTTTCATAGAAAGAAAAGAAAAGAAAAAATCAAAATGAAACAATACGTCTAACTCCAGTGGATGGTAGATATAGCAGCATCGGAAACAAAACCCCAAAGTGAAATGCCAGGGAAGAATGGTCACGTGTGTCCTCTGGGCACTTTCAGGGACCCACTCTGGCCAGTCCCCTCCTTGCCGGGAGGGGAAGATTCACAGCGGCAGGGCCAAGCAGAGCGCTCCTGGCGGGGGTGGGGGACGGGGTGGGGCTTGCCACTCACTTGCCGGCTCACCAGAAGCTCCAGGCCTCCTCAGTGGTGGCGGCAAGTCCTGGGCCTGTCCTGGGCCTGTGGGCCTCAGGGCCTCTGTCCGCAGCATGACTGCACGGAGGCCTGAGTTTCCAACAGGAAACTCCTTCCAAAAGGAGGCCAGCAGGGCCACCAGCCGACCTGGGACAGCTGGGCAGGACTGAGGCGCGTTCCCAGGAGCCGCCCCGTGTGGGGCGCAGGGCAGGGGCAGCGCCCTTCTCCCGAACCGAGCTCCGTGCTGGGGCGCGTGTGGGGGCTGCAGGTTTTCTTCGAGAGGGTCCTGGTCGGAAAGGTGGGAACTCCCAGGCGGAGGGATGCACAGGCCTCGGAGAGGGGCGCCCGGTCTACAGGCATGGTGCCTGGGGAGCCTGAGGAGTCCGTGCGCCGCTGGCTCCTCCAGGAAACCTTGCTGTGCTAGGTGCGGGCGGATGGAACCTAACCGCCGGGTTCCGGGCCCAAACCCGCACGTGGAGCCCCGCCGTGCAGGCTGCACCCGCCGCCTCACGCAGCTGTGGCCCTACTTGCAGGTGTGCACGTCGTAGACGCGCGTACACTCCTGGCAGCGCACGTAGCAGCACCAGTGGAACACGCAGTGGCACTTCTCGCGGCGCCGCTCGGTGCGCGCGTTGTGCCCGCGGCCGCAGCACAGCAGGTCGCAGCCGTCGATGCCGTGCGAGCTCACGTTGCAGGTGCGGTCGCGCGTGCCGAAGGAGCCGGTCTCGGGGTCCGGCTCGCAGAAGTTGGGCGAGGCCTCGTAGTAGACCAGGTCGCGTTCGGTGGGCGCCTTGAAGTAGGTGTAGCGCGGCCGCAGCGTCTCCACCCAGCCGCGCGACTCGCGGTGCTTCTCCACCACCATCTCCGACGCGCTGTCGTACTTGTCCTTCAGGAAGTCGCCCACGGCGCGGAAGTCAGGCTGCGACCACCAGCAGGTCTTCACCTCGCAGCTGCCCGACAGCCCGTGGCACTTGCACTTGAGGTGCGTGTGGCTCGCCACCGCCTGCGAGGGGGCACGAGCTGCGTCAGCCTCGGGGCGGGGCTCTGGGGGACCCAGGGCCTCAGCCGACACCGCGCCAGGCCTCCCCCAGTCTTCCCAGGGCCCCGGGGCTCCCAAGCCCTCCCGGAACTCAGCCTCCCTCAGGTCTCCCTCAGCCTTCCTGGGGCCCGGGGGCCCTGTCCGCCCTCCCTCGATTTCTGCCTCTACTTGCAGCAGGGGCGGAGCGAGTGGAGGTGCCCTCCTAGGCCCTGCTGGCTCTGGCCGAGGGCTGTTGGCAAGGGCCCGCACAGGCCTCTTCTCTGGGTGCCATCCCCTCACCCATGTGTCCCATGTGCCCAGCATGTGCCCACCATGTGCCATCCACCCTCACTGGAGCCCCAAGGGCTAGGGGGCCACTGTGCCTAAAGAAACTTCTTTTTTTCTGTAAAGCACCCAGCATTTTGTTATAGCAACAAAAAAGCAGACTAATGCAGAGTTCAGTTGCAATGTAGGATCAACATGGGTTTCACCTGTCCTTTATTTCGGTGTGGCTGCTGGATAATTTCCCTTGACTGTGTGGCTCCGGTCTGTGGCTCACACTGTGCTTGTTTTGGACCGTGCTGGTTGAAGACCTCCCCGGGGCTCAGGGTCCGGACCTGCACCTCCTTGCCCCTCCCTCTCACACCGGCCCCACTCTGCCTGCGGCCACTGTATCTGATGGCCGTGTTCTTCCCTCACTTGCAGCCGGGCTTTTCCAAGAGGAGCTGCCACTTGCCCTCTCTTCTTCCCCAGACCTTTTTGTCCTAGTTTTTTTAAAATCAGAGTTATGGATGCACATAATTTAAAGAGCCTTGTTCCTAAGACCTGTTAGAAAGCCTAGGAATTCTGGCCCACACTCACACAGGCACGGCACTTTCCCTGCGTTCCTGAGACCCTCCGTGGGACACCTATGATGGATAACATGCTTCCCTTGCCACTTCTGGATTTTCCTGGAGACAGGGTCTCACTATGCAGTCTAGATCCATTTCTGAGCATTAGGCATTACCTGTGGTGTCTCGCAGGGGTGGGGGAATCTTCAGTTCTTTCTCCACTTCACCCCACCCCATACTTGGCATAGTTTCTGGTACATCACTAATCACTGTTGGTAGATCTGGCCCTAGGTGAAATGCTGGATTGCACAGGACCGTGTGATATATTACAATGATGTGTCCTTCCCTACATGGCTTTTGTTAAGGTACCTGCCACTGATTCAGCCCCGAATTCTTTCGTAATTGTCCAAATATTCTCTTTGATATGTTCAAACATATATTAATTCTATTAATTTCACCGTAGTGGACACATTTATTTGCCAGAAGCAGCCTTCTGGTAAGTTTTGTGAAATGTGTGTGTCTTTTTTTCCACTATTGTTTCATTTAACTGATAGTCTAGCTGGTAGTCTAGTTTAAAACCATTTTGTCCCTCAGGTGTGATCTTATGTTCTTCTAGGTTCACTGTTCATCCTGAGAGCCTGATGGCAGTTTGGTTCCTAATCCTTTGAAACACTGTCCTTGAAACTTGGAGGATTTCTCTGTGGTGTAGGCTCTGGATTTCACACCACGTTGTTTCCTGGTTCTTTCCTCTCCACTGTTCACCCACTGGCTGGGCCAGTGTGGTCTAGAACCTCAGTTCTGGGAAAACTTCCTGCTTATTTCTTTTTTGTTTTTGTTTTTGTTTTTGTTTTTGCTTTTCTCCGGTACCAGGAACCGAACTCACGACCTTGCGCTTGCCAGGCAGGCGCTTTTGCCGCTGAGCTAAATCCCCAACCCCTCCTGCTTATTTCTTTATGAACCTCCTCCTTGTGTCTATTCTTGTCTTTCTTGGTGAACACATTCCAAATCTTCTGTCCTCACCTCATCAATTTTCTTTTCTTTTTTTTTTTTTCATCAGTTTTCATCTCTTTGTCTTTTTTTCTACCTTGTGGGAAAGTATGATTTTCAACTTTCTGCTAAGATTTCTGCTTTTGTTAATTCTTTTTTCTTATTTCTTTTTTCTCTCTATTCTTTGAAATTAATATTCCTGTTATGACATTACGGATGCAGTGTCTTTTCCTTTAGGGACGCGGATATTCTGTGACGCTCTCGTCTTTCCTTCCCATTACTCTTTCCTGTGAGGTGTGTGTGTGTGTGTGTGTGTGTGTGTGTGTCCCTCTTCCTGTTGTCAGTGCAGCTTGCTGTCCGCTTATACTGAAGTCGGGCCTAGACACCCTGCTGGAGGCCCATGTGTTGGAGGGACTGGCAACGTGGACCACGGGGCTGGCAGCCTTCTCTGTTGTGGCTTTCCCTGCTGCAGAATCTTTGGCCTTCCCCTCCCTAGAGGGGAACGGCCACCCTTCTGCTTGGCATCAGGAGACCAGGAAGAGAGATGAGGTCTGAACTTCCATGTGCAGAGAGACCATTTCCGCTGTGGCAGCTCAATCGCAGATGTGCTTGGTGTCCCTCAGGCTAAAGTCACCCCTAGTCCTGTGCAGAGAATAAACCTCCAGACATCTGTATGGCAAGGGAGAGGCTGCTCCTGCCCACAAGGGTTGTATAGGTATCATGCGCTAACCAACTGTGCCACTGGAGCTCTGCCAATGGGTTATAGAAGGCTTTAGAAACAGGCTTTGCACAAATCTTCCTGTTTCCACACCCACGATCACATTTACTTCTCAAGATTCCAGATGCAGGGCTGGGGATTTAGCTCAGCGGCAAAGCGCCTGCCTGGCAAGCGCAAGGTCGTGAGTTCGGTTCCCGGTACCGGAGAAAAACCAAAAACA